ATATGTGAACTGCTGTATGAAAAGTGAATTTACTCTGTAAATCTTCACCCAAATCCTAAAAAAAAAAAAAAAAAAGTCATGTGGGGACTCAGATCTGTCCCTTCTGAGGCTGCTGATCATTTAGACCCTCAGGAGTTGGCCTGAGACTGTCCTCAGCAAAGGGATGCTACCCACCAGAAAACAATGAAAACACATCTGCTCTGCTTCACGTATGATATGTGTACATCCTCTAGCCTTCAGACCTCCTCAACCAGGGACCCACAAATCCCTTGGATGGGCTCTCCACTACCTTGGTAATAGCTTTATTGAGATTTAATTCACAAACCAAATAATTCACCCATTTAAAATGTATTATAATTCAGTGATTTTTAGTATATTCACAGAGTTGTGCAACCATCGTCACAAGACATTTTGGAACATTTTCATCACTGGAAAAAGAAGCCTCATATTCTCTAACATTCACTCTCCACGTCCCCTCACTCAACACTCTCCTTCCCCTGACCCAGGCAACCACTCATCTACTTTCTGTCTCTATAGATTTCCCTATTCTGAGCCATCATATGAATGGAATCATATAAGTGGTCTTTTGTGACTAGCCTCTTTCACTTAGCATGTTTGCAAGGTACTTCCACGTTTTTATGGACGAATATTCCATTGTAGGAAAATAACACATGTTGTTAATTTTCTCATCTGCAATGGACATATGGATTGTTTCTACCTTTTGGTTATTGTGAATAATGCTTTTATAAACATTCAAATAATGCTGCTATAAACATCAAACATTTGAACACTTATGTGAAGTTTTTATGTAGAAAAATGGATTGGGTAGAGCTGTCAGGCCTGAATCCTCTGACACATTCACACGTTGTGTGTATATGCACTTTTTAAGAGGGAAGGGGCAGTGCTCATCAAACCCCAAAGAGGCCCTGCCCAGTTAATTAGCATAAACTCCTCATTGGCCTTTGAGCCCTATACAGTACTGCCTGCTTTTTCACAGGTGCTTTCAAGTCAGACACACCTGGGGCTTAGATATCTATGTTCCACAAAGTACTTTAGAACCTCATACAAGTTCAAACCCACCAGCCACTCCTTGGAAGGAAGATGGGGCAATCTACTTCTGTAGTGATACTGCCTCGGAAACCCAAGGAGGGGTTGCTATGAGTTGGGTCCGACTTGATGGCACATAACAACAGCAACAACAACAACAAGTTATTCAGCTCCAAGTTTCCATTTGCTCATCTGCATATTGGTGGTAGTAATAGGACATCCCACCACAGGAGTCTCTTTTGATGATTAAGGAGATAGTGTTAATAAAGTGTTGAGTGGAATACCTGGCTCAATAATTCTTGGGTGTGACATCTTTATGACCTGGAGTGAACCTCCTCTGACCTCCCAAAATGCCTCATGCTTCCATTTCTTTATTTTTGCTCCTATTATTCTCCCACCTGAAATTCCTTCCCTGACAAAACTTACTGTGATAAAGGGCATTCCTTCCTTCAGGTCCATTTCAAGCTAAGGCACTCAGCCCTTCCTATAATTCCTGAAACAGCTATGTTCTTCCGCTTTGCTTCTCTTAAGAGCACTTTCTCTTAAGGCACTAAATTGACACCATTTGGTACAATCATAGTTTGTGTTCAGGTCTTCTCATTTTCCTTGGCCTATATCCATATCCACACAGCAAAGCCCCACAATAACAAAAGGACAACCCGAGACCTGATATTCCTCCCATCTGCTTTCTTCCCAGGGACTCAACAACACAGGTGTCTGTGTATGCACCCATCCATCTGAAAACATTTAAAGAGCAACTAGGCCCCTGGAGAGGCAGGATGGTGAGCAATCTGGGCACCTTCCCACAAAGCTCACAACCCAGAGGGTAAAACAGAGATGCCAACTTAAGTGCCATGAAGCATCACAGTGCTAAGTCCAAGTGGGACACAAGGGTAAGCACAGAACGGCATGGCCAGAGCTTTTCCTGGGCTGAGGGTCTCTTAGCTGCTGTGGAGTCCACTCCCAACTCATGGCAATCCCATGCACAACAGAATGAAATGCTACTCGGTCCTGTTCCACCCCCATGATCAGTTACAGATTACACCACTGTTATCCACAGGGTTTTTTGTGAAATAGATCACCAGGCCTTTCTTTCTAGTCTGTCTTAGTCTGGAAGCTCTACAGAAACCTGTTAATGTCATAGCAACATGCAAACCACCACTGACAGGTGGCGGCTATTCATGATGTGCATTACATGGGAAGGAAATGCAGGTCTACCACATGGAAGGTGAGAATTCCACCAGTAAACCACCAATGCCTCATACTAAGGGTCTGGGACGGTTTTATAGAGGCATTAACACCAGTCTTGACAAATGAATATAGCACGGCCAGGTGGGCACAGTGGGGGAGATAAAGAGGTTGAACAAAGGAAAGATATGAAAACAGGACACCAAGAGGAAGGAGTATGGGAGAAGGCAAGGAAATAACAACATGCTTGCTATCTAAAGGGAAGCAATTCAGGGAGGGAGGGTTTTAATTTTATTTTAGGCCCTAGAACCCCTAGATTTCATTTTTTGGACACAGGAAGAGAGTCGGCAGAAAAGGTGGAAAGGTTGACAAAATGCAGGAGAACGTATGAGAGTTGAATCCTGACCTGGAGGAAGAAGGCATAGAGGGCATTCAGAGCTCAGACTTCCTCCTAGAGACCAGTGGGCAGGAAGTGAGGGTGGAGGCAGAGAGATAAGGCTGACAGGAAATTGAGGGAACAAAAGGAGTTACACCTTATAGCAGTCAAATTATACCTGACAGCAAGATGAAGGCCTCAGCTGAGGGGGTGGGGTAAAGAATAAGATACTTACGAAGGTGAAGGTAATAAAGGTCAATTGGAGAAAAAAGAAAGAGAGAGACCATAGACTTCTTGGCAAGACTGATGCCTCCTGAGGCTGCGGATAGTGAGGACATGACCCTGATGAGTGACTAGAGCAGCCTGCCCACTGTGCTCAGTTATTGCTTAGCAAGAAAGTCATCATTCACTAAAGGGAGTTGCCAATCAAATGGGGCAGGTGAGACATGCAAGCTGGTCACTGAATCCCTAAAGATCTGCCACCATCTCGCTCCTGAGGAATGCGTAGACTAACACAGAACACGCTCCACACCCACAACTGTCACACAACATCTTCTTCTTATTATTATTATTATAGTTTCGGTGAAAGTTTACAGAGCAAATGAGTTTCCATTCAATAATTTATACACATTTTGTTTGTGACATTGGTTCCAATCCCCAAAATTTAACAGCACTCTTTCCCCTTTCTCCCTATGTTCCTTATTTCTATTCATCCTTCTTTCCTGCCCCTTCCTGCCTTCTGAATTTTGTTTTTAGGCAAATGCTGCCTTTTGCTCTTGTATCACTGACTGCACTGGGGAGTATGTTCCTTGTGTTATTATTCACCTGATAGGCCTCTCTATTGTTTGGCTCAACGTTGATGCCCAGGAGTTGGTTCAGTTCCAGGCTTGAAGGGTATCTAAGATCCACAGCCTTGGGGGTTCCACCAATCTCTATTAGACCAATAAGTGTGGTCATTTTTATGATTTTGAATTTTGTTCTACATTTTTTTTTCTTCCTCTCTGTCCAGGACCTTCCATTGTGATACTGATCAGAGCAATTGGTGATCATCTAGTTCATCTAGTCTCAGGGTAGTGGAAGCTGTGATTCACATGCACCATTGGTGCTTTGGACTGTTTTCTGAGTCTTTGATTTTCTTCACTCTTTTTTGCACTAGACAGGGAGAGACCAGAAGTCGCTTCTTAGATGGCCACTCACAAGCTTTAAAGATCCTGTTGCTACTCACCAAAGTAGGATATAGAACACTGTCTTTGTGGACTATGTTATGCCAACTGATCAAGAGGTCTCCAAGACTGTGGTCTCAAGTCCCCAAGTACAGTGAATCATTCCTTCAAGGTGTTTGGTTATGGCTAAGAAACTAACAGCTCCTTTGAATTCTTTCTTAGACACTAAAAAATCAGACATTTGGAGCCTCAATTCAAACACTTTCCATGAAGACACGTACCTTGGTCCAGCCAGGAAACTGGATAAATGTATCCTGGGGCAAGTCTGGGATCCCACTGGGAATGGAGAAGTTCCCCACATAAAAGGCTGGAAGTGTGAAGTTAGATGAATTGGGAGGCCCAGCTTCAACGTGGTAGCTGTTGTGATGACCACCCCAGCCCCCTAGGTGGCTGTGCACTGCATCCTCTGTGTTTAGCGGGAAGATCAGCCAGTCTGTGAGGACCTGGTAGCCCAGAGTCAGGTTAGAAATCAAACCCTGCAAAGGAAAGACAGAGAACAATGAGCTGGAGGTAGGAACGAAAAGGGCTTCAAGTCTCTGCATTCCAGCCCTGAATTCCTGGGAAAAGTAAAAAGGTATACACACAGCAATAGTGAATGAAACTCAAACTGTGTGTAAGTTGAAGTGATATGGATCTGGCTTGAAGCTGAATCACACCTTCTTGGCTGGAGGTACATTGCCCAAACCACAGCCCCTCTCTCCTTTGGAGGCCAGGATGTCCCCACAAAGGCCAAGAGTTTTGCCCCTACTGAAAGGAGGTGAATGAATCACTATAACTTTCTTTCTTCCTTTATTTTTCTCTTTAAAATATCAAGTATTTATTTATCTCATGATTCTGTGCTTTAGCAGCTTAGGCTGAGGTTAGCTGGAAGATCTTTCTGGTTTTGACTGGGTGGTCAGTTGCCAGGTCTTGGGGTGGGAGACTGGTTGATCAAAGGGGACCTCTTGTCTCTATTTCACATGGCCTCTCATCTTCTAGCAGGTTGGCCTGGGCTTGCTCACATGAAGATGGCAGGGTTCCAAGAGAAAGCGGGAGGAAGTGGGTAAAACCTCTTGAGGCCTAGGCTTGAACTATACAAGGTCACCTCTCCCACATCCTACTGACCAAAGCAAGTCACTATAGCTTTTGACTCCAAATCCCTAGTTCTCAGTGTTTGCTTCAGAGCCACTGCTAGAATGGAAGAAAGGTGGAATCTGAGGAATGGGAGAATGGAGTGGGGGATGCGAAAGAGCATCGTCCCACCGTAGATGGGAGACAGCGAAGCAACCAATCCTGCCCATTACAAAGAACTGGAAGCAAGTTTTGACCTTGAGCCTCTCAAAGAGAAACTCACAGGGATGACTATACCTGAGACCATGTATCTGTTGTGAGATCTAAATGAGATAACATAAATGAGAATATTTTAACCCCTGTAAAAGGAGGTAAAGGGTAGTGATGATGATGGTGAGCCTCACTTGCGTTCTGAATTTTTTTTTTTTGGTGCAGTTTCTGGGGTGCCTGTGATGGTGGCTACTACATTAAAGCCCATGCTCACAGTTCATCTGACTTTACTGTCCTGTCTTTCATGTGGGGAACTTTTCTATTCCTGGTGGAATCCCAGATTTGTCTCAGGATACCTTTCAATATCAAGCCTTAAATGCCCAGTTAGTAATTCAAACAACATTAACCAGGCAGCTACATGCCAGGCTCTCTGCTGTTTACTGGGGACCCAGAGACTACACAGCAGAGTACCCCCTCACCTGTAAGGACATGGAAGGAAGACCATTAATTACATCCTTAGCATAAGAACTGTCATAGAAATATTTATTCTTGAGGCAAAGGCAGCTCCCATGCTGTATTCCGTAAGTCTGAGCTGTCAGCAAGAGCATATGAAATACCCCAGACACTTGCTTGTCCTAGACTAGGTGGTGCTATCATCCCCTTGGTGCAGGCCTCTCCTCTAGCAAAGGGTAAGCTACTTGAGAATAAACCTTTTACCTCGCTATATGCATTCTCTGATGCACTTCATGCAGCATCTCATAGAGAGTGAGCCTAACAAATGTTGGGGAATAATGCTCTAAAACTATTTCTTAGGAAGATATATTTAGACTGGGCACAGAGTAGCCAATAGGCAGAGGCAGGGCACCAACGGAAAGGCTTTCTGGAATTCAAAAGTTTGTCATGGACTATCCACACTCAGAAAACCCCACACCAAATTCTAAGCTGATTTTGTTAGAAAGGGAGTGCCTTTGCAAGCTGGGTGGGTTTTTTTCAATAGAGGAAGAGCACAGTAGCAAGGTGGAGTGGCTTCCTTCTTCTGTTTCTTTCTAAAGGATGACTGAGCTCAAACACAAGGGAAGCACTCTGTTTGCAGAGCTCAACTTTCTTACCACCTGCAGAGGAAAAGAGGTCTTTAAAATAACTGAACATTTAGGCTACAAAATAAATTAAGATAGGTTTACTCATCAAACTTGGCAAAATATGTGTGTTTTTTTAAAATTCCTTCTGCATTAAAAGGCACGAAGGGAAAGCATGTATGTGTGAGAGTTTTAAAATGGAGATTATGAAAAGCTTCCTCAGACTGCTCAAGAACAATCCCCTCAATCCCCGAGTCCCTAATTCCCAGCAGTGTGGAGACCGCAGGGGCTGCAGGCCCAGACGAACTTGCATTCATATTGCTGGCTCACTATTTACTGTGGGCCAAGTCAATGCACTTCTATGAGGCTCAGTTTTTCCTTCTGCAAAATGGGGGCAGTCATACTTCCCTTGCAGTTGCAGCAGAGAACTTAATGACTGAGAATAAAGAATGAAAAATACATGGATTTCTGCTTTAATACTCTGTCGCCATGTTTCTAGGGAGATGTGATGTATATAGCCACAATCTTCCTGGCTCTACAAAATCAGTCCATTGGGTTGTAAAAACCTGGCCTAAACCTGCAATACATTCAATTCAATATGAAAATCTACTAAGGATATTCATATTTCCTCTATGTCTGCTCACTAGTTTAAAGACAACCCATGAAGTTAGAGAGTTCAGGAAATAAGGCTGTCTTCAAATACAGCATTTTCAAAGCTTAAAAAAAAGTACATTGAGTCTAAGTTAGAGATAAGGCCTCGGACTCATTTCCCTTTTACTATTCCTAAACTTACCAAAGATCTATTTGTGGCAAGTTCTGCTTCTGAAAAAGGCCGACGAACTGAAGACAACTATAAAACTTGAACGGGATATATTTAAAAAATCTTCCTGAAGGTATTTAAGATGTAACAAGAGTGAGAACTGATGGATCAAGTTGTGGGAGAGGACAGGAATCCAGAGAGAGGAGCTTGAAAGTCCCCCTTTTGCTCTAGGGCCACCTGTGTTTGCAAAGAGGCAGGTAAGAAGCAGAGCCATGTTTCCGGGAACCCCATGGGGTCAGAGGAGACAAAAATCAGAAAGATATGGCCTGGATAAACCATTCTCCTATCCCTCCTTGGGATGGGACCACTAAGGGTGATGTGGATGTTAAATGAGCCTTCACAGAGACTGCAGCCAGGCTTTATGTTTTTTAGACAGGTTAACAAAACAAAAACCCTTAAACCGAGATCAGAAGGGCAATTGCACAGGGAGATAGTTCAGGGGGCAGGTCTGCATAGGAAAGAAGGACACAGGGAAGAGATAACTACAGGGAGGAAGTGGGAAGAAAGGTGTTAAAACAAACAAACAAAACCTTAAAACTTGAATCTGACTTAAGGTGGTCCCAGTTTATTAGCATTTCCAGGAGCCCAGAGAAATAAAAATCATCCCAGGCTTCAAATGATTTCTAAAGCACTTTTTCAAATACAATGTCTGCAACACAATGCAAAATAACCAGGCACATGAAGACATAAGATACCATGAGAGTAAATCAGCAAAAACAGACAACAGAAGTAAGTGCACAGTGGTTCTAGATATTGAAATTATCAGACATGAGCTATACAACAACCATGCTCACCATATTTATGGAGGAAAAACTCAAAACTCAAAAATTTCAGCAGGAAACCAAGAATTACAAAAAGTGGCATAGGAGAGTAGTAGAGAAGCATTTAGATATTCTGGAACTCTGAAGCTCCTTGTAGTTAACTGATAACACAGAGAAGGCCAAAGCAATCAGAATCCTGGTTTGCAGCAGAACTTGCAGACAAAATTCTGACCTTGATGCTGACTGGATTCTTAAACATGTCACAAACGGTATCTTCAATGAAAAGCAAAAAGACCAACATGTCTGCAATAAGATGACAGAGGTCAATTCAATGATGTCAGTGCCTGAATGGTCTGCTTGTCCTACCTTAAAATCATTGTTATATCTGCCATAATTCACTCGCCCCATGTTCTCCACCAGCAGGTCCAGAGTGGCTCCAGCTTCTCCTACTATGTTCAGACTGATCACCTTATTTCGCTCAAGGACTCCCTGGGGGACCTGTAGGTTCAATGCCAAATGAGAACTAGGTAAGATCAACAAAGAAAGACAGAATGCTCAGTTTATTTAGCACTCATTTTGCAGCCTTGAAGTTTCACCAGACTTGGTAGGGAATGCCTCCTGGGGTTGCCAAGGCAGTATCACTACAGAAGTAGATTGCCCAACCTTCCTTCGGAGGAGTGGCTGGTGGGTTTGAACCGCCAGCCTTCTGGTTAACAGTCAAGCGCTTTAGGCACTATGCTACCAGAGCTCCTGCCAAGTTCCCTGAGGTGGGAAATCACTTGTCAAAGCAAGGGAAAATCTAGATTGGTTTCTTGTGCTCTGGGATCATTTATTTTTACTATTTTGTTGATCATTTATTTTTAATGGAAAGAGAATGGGGCAAATTTCCAGGGAGGACTACCATTAGAGGAACTGCTTCTTGTTCCCACAGCACATAAGACAGTCATATGAAAAACAGCTTCTAAATAACATGGAGAGGGAGATGAGACAAAATCAGATAAATGAGATAAAATCAGAGAGTTTGCTGGAGTATTCTCACTTCAAAAGACTTGATAAAATGCATTAACCACAAAAATCAAACAACAGAATAAAGGAAAACAACAGGTACCTTATCAGCAATATATATCCCAATTTTTCAAAAAGTCTAAATTTTTTTAAAAATTGGTACTACATTAGCACAATTCACCAAGTAACACTAAAATGAAGCAAAAAAAAAAAAAAAAAATCAGTATACCTACAACATAGAAACTTGCTCTAACTAAAATTTAAAGCGCTGATTACCATAGCATGGAAATGTTTTAATATTAAATTTTCTGAAGAAATTTTCTTGGTTAAAAAAATCACTTCATGTATTGTTTCACATAATGATTTTAATAGAGAGATGAAAATGTTAAAATTTACCTATGCTCTGTTAATGAACTTCTTTGTGTATTTTAGTTACAATGATCATAAAATCTCCTTCAGAATATAATTTCTCATGGAGAATGAAGGCACAAAGCTAAATGAATCAGTGACATTTACAAAGTTGAATCAGAAATGGACCCATCCTCAAGGAGCTCACAGTACAATTTGGAAAGATGACCTGGGCAAGATGCCCTGCTCAGTCAGAGAAGGATGGCTGTGTGTATGTGGGGGGAGGCACTAGAGAGGGCAGAGCCGTGAGCACAGCTCTCAGTGCAAAGATGGGTAAGGGGGTATTCAAGGCAGATGGTGCATGAGTGAGGCCATATTTGCAAGCAAGTTTCCCAGCTGAGGGAGGAGAAGACAAGGAGTGGAGCCCAAGGTTAGAAAGGTGGACAAGGGCCTCAAATGCCACCATTTAGCCCTCTACCCCATTAAAGCAGAAATGCACAGTTGAGAGACAATTCTTACCCCATTCACGGAGACATAGGCCCGATCATGGACTCCATTGGTGGGTGTAGAGAGGGGTGTTGGGTAGCTGCAATTATTAGGAAGTGTTGTTCGGTACAACACAAACCCAAAATACTGGTTAAGAAAAAAAAAAGAGAGATTTAAGAAAAATATATCACACTAGCCATTCATTTTAAGAAAACTTGGTTACCCTTGATCTATATGAAAACAGTGATGTTTCTAAAACCCTAAGGAATGAAAAGCTTCTCTAACCCCAGCAAAACTTCAATTGGAAAGAAGGGGACTGGCTTAAATCTTTAGATCACAGAATAATTATCATTTCAGAAAACAGCAAGGAATGCTGAAGAGTGCCTTAATAAACATCCCTTTTACAGATGAGGAAACTGGATTCTGGACAAAGTAAGTGACTTGTTCATGGTCACTCAGGGAAATCACACCATATATACCAAAAGGTTATTTATGGTAACTCAAAAAACAAAATCAATTGGGAGTTACTGCTTAAGAGGTACTGAGTTCCTGTTTGGGGTGATGAGAAAGTTTTGGAAATAGATAGTGGTAATGGTTTCATAACATTGTGAATGCATTACTATCACTGAATTGTATATTAAAAATAGGGAAAATGGCAAACATATAAATACACACACACACACACAAATCACATAATCTGGAGCTCTGGTGATGCAGTGCCTAAGGCATTACCAGAAGTTTAGCAGTTTAAATCCACCAGACTTGGAAACCCAGCGGGGTCATTATGAGTCAGAATCCACTCAATGTCAGTGGGTTTGGTGTATATATATATAT